TGTACAGGTACGGTTCTCTCTAAGGTCACTTTCTCACATGCACAAACTACAGGTACGGTTCTCTCTAAGGTCACTTTCTCACATGCACAATCTACAGGTACGGTTCTCTCTAAGGTCACTTTCTCGCATGCACAATCTACAGGTACGGTTCTCTCTAAGGTTACTTTCTCACATGCACAAATTACAGGTACGGTTCTCTCTAAGGTCACTTTCTCACATGCACAAATTACAGGTACGGTTCTCTCTAAGGTCACCTTCTCGCATGCACAATTTTATTCAAGTTAATATTGTTTAATAAGGGATAGGGGAAACATCAACAAACAGGAGAAGCTAGGCGAGTCCTACCCTCTGCTAACAAATTCAAGGGAAGTCACGGTACTGGAAAATGGGCAGGGCTGCTGTTTTGGTTAGATTCTACCTGGTTAAGAAAGACCGGACTTCTGCTGCGCAAAGTACCATCACAGCTATCAACAGCTTTCGTACTCTTTTTAAATTATAAGATTCCTTTTTCTCAATGACTTTTGTTTGTGTTTCCATGCCCCCCCCCCCGTCAAAGAGATTGTTTCATAATAATGCGAAAATGATCATTTTGTGAAAATATTTTTCATGTTTCTTTAACGTTTAGATTACAACGTCACTGCAGTCAATTCTTTGATCTCCTTTGTCGACTGTTAGACTACTTGACAGGTGAGGAATAAAGTATTCATATATAATCATTTCAGTCAATCATTTGATGTACGCCACTTCGCTTACGCCTTGCAAGGAATATTTTAAGCTTGCGATGGTAAGTACTTTGATAAAAGTAGCTGAAATGATAAGACCAGTGCACCAGAAAGGCAGGAACATAGGGTCAAACCCACCGATATCCTGTTGTTGTTATTGTTGTTGTTGTTGTTGTAGTTGTTTGAGCAGATGTATGATAGTCACTTCATCACTGTTAAGATTATCAAACAAAACTTATTTATCTTTAACTTTCTTTTAAGTGGTAAAATTTTATGATATATAACGGTTGGAAAGCTTCCTCACGCAACGTTAGGTCATTCATCCCACAGTGTAGAATTGCGAGTGGAGTACAATAATTATGTAAAGGTTTTATGTTTCGAATTTTTGTATGGACTCGAAGGGAAGGAAGGGTCGCGCACAAATTATTACTTAATTAACAACAAATATGAGAGATATCAAGCTCTTTTCATTCTACGTCTACGGCTCGAGAATTTTAAAACGGAAGATGGCGTTTCCAATTTTGTTCGGTGCTTTGTTAAAGAGGCTTGAATATCCTTTCCACCTGTTGTTTGGCACGTCATACAGGACTTTCCCAGGGGGGCAGTTGGGGGGGGGGGGAGAGCTCTAAAGAACACCACTTTTGACGTGAATCAAAACACTGCAACCAGCGATAACAAACAGCCAGTATTTCATACATGTTGATTCTGCAGTGTCGAGTCAAACCAAACCATTCTTGTTTCAGTGACAGAGCAGAGACTGATGAAAATCGATCCCACCAAGATGATCGACAATGAAATACAATGGTTGCTGAATTTTGAATGTGGAAGTAATTTAGGTATTCCTACATTTGTTTGAGTTTTAACTCTTGAAAATTTTTAAAGCTTTGTTGACACACGTTTCTGGATAAGTCGAGAAGCTGAGTAATGGTTTGTGTCTGTTTTATTTCAAATCTACTTTTAGAGATGTAAGGCTCCTTTGCATGTTAGGATTTGAGCAAACTTCAATTTAATATAGAACGTATAGCGGGAGCTTTCCTTCGCTCTTTGTTTTGTTTGGAAAATTCGCGCCACTTTCTCAAAGTGAAGCCAACTGCTTCTTGGTCGCCCGCGTTTTCCCCGCTTCAGGCAGCTCGCTTTTCTTATTTTGAGATTTCAGTAGCACTTGAGATTAGTTGTTTTGGCTACTTCTGTCGTGGCGCGCTTCGTTGTGACTGGTCAATTGAAGGAAGACATTTTTAAACCGTAGAAACGTGTTCCTAGTTTGTAGTCTGAGAATGTGAGGTAAATCGCGTGGACTACTCGTGAATTTTGTTATTTATGGTCACTCGTGATGTTTTGAGAGATATCCAGGTTCCAATCACAATTATGACAGAAATCACGTAAAGTGCGCCCTCTGATTGGTCAATTCAGTGTCTACTTTTTGCCCACGGGTGTACACTACTGATGCGAGCAAATGTTTCGCAAGAAATTGTTTTTTTATGTTGTTTGAAGAGGTTAGAGTCGCTCTCGGCTATCGCCTCGAGCGACTCCTACGCTTCTCGCGTCCTCAGCAACCTCCCGCCTGCATCCATAACTCAAAAGAGTACCTTGTGGTGTTTACCATTTGATAAATAGTGCGGTGCAATTGTGAATATTTTTAAATCATCATTAAGGCCCATAAATCGCTTACATGCAGATTATACCCTATATCACAGCAAGTATTGGAAATATTTTTGATCATCCAATCTATATTTATTTCGCAGAAAATAGCTTTCCACTTCTAGCTGGCCATTTGAAATTAATTAAAACTCTCTTCACTTGTGAAGGGGTGGACAAAAGGGGTTTAGGTAAGTGGAAGTGCTTATAACAGATCACAACATCTTCAGTACTATTTTCACGAATATAAATGTGATGCGGAAGGAATTCACACCTTTTTTCCCTTTCTTGTAGGAGAGAAGTTGATAAAAGACCTTTTAGATGACTTTCTCTTTCCTGCTTCGAAGTTAATTTTCGACACAAGAAGTGCACCGTCTAAAGAGACTGTTATTGATGTTCACCCCAAGTAAGATGAGATCATAATTAACTTTGCGCATTGTAGTATTCCTACCGTGCCTTGTTAAGTCTTTCTGGTTGAAAGAAGTAAACAGGGAAGAAACTCTGAAATGTCTGTATTGCACGGTAGCCTTGTTTTACGTAAAGAAACTGATGGCGCTTTCTCACTCAGTTAGACCCACAGGGAAAACTAATCTCGACTCGTCCACCCAGTGAACTTGAATGTAAACTTTTTGAGTCTTGATTAGCTCCTTGTGATTTCAGTTCGACGTCTGATTGGCTATTATGATAACTGTTTTTTTTTTTTTCTGGTTTTGCGATGTCTTCAAAACTTACCCTTGTAGACATGGTTTGTAGCAGTATCTACATCCACTCAAGAAATTTTGTTGACTATCGAAGACGTTCATTCTTCTTAACCTAGTATCTGAGCTTTTTATGCCTGCATTAGAGATTACTCTGGCTTAGACACAAGTTTGAAGTTCACCATAGAGTTCTCTGTAACTCTGACCGGTAGAGCAAGAGACAAACAAAATGTTTCTTCAATGTTGATATTTTTTATCAGGCAGTCTGTATTAACAGTCAAAACATTAATTAAAACATTTTATTTATTCTTGTATCATTATTATATTGTATCGTAGTCTTCTAGGGCCCATCTTTTTTTTTTGCCAGTATATTTTCTTATGCCCTTTTCTTGGTTAAAAATGTTGGAGCTAAACGTTCTTTTTCCTGTTCCAGATGTGTTGCCAGAGAGTGTCAAGTGGCTGCACATGAGCTTCTGGTGGAACTGGCCACTGGCTGCGCTGAAAACCTGGTTTACATTGTGTCCCAATTAATTAGTATGCATCATATTGGTGATCCTGGTACAATCAAAGAATGGGAGGTACATTGAGTGTTATTTTGTGGTATTTGTTGAAGCCTGTTATAGAAAGTCATTCTCTTTCTAAATGCTTGAAAAGTAGATGAAATGTGGCATAATTTCAGTTCATTTTGTTGATATCCCATCATTAACCATGCTTCTCCTGTATTAAAACGAAAATCTTTCTTCTTTTATGGTTGTAAATACTGCTTTAAGACAGAAATACCAAAGATTTCATCCAAAATAAGTTGTAAAATCAACTTGAATTGTTTTGTGCACGTGAACTTTTTTTTTAGAAAGAACGAAACCAAGTTTTGTGGATTAGTCGTTAGAAAATTCTTAAACTCTACATTTGAAAAAAATAAAATCAAAATAAACTGAAAGGGCAAATTGCGAAAACTCTTGTTGGTGTGTTTTGTGTTTTGTTCGCCAAAACTTTACGTCAGTTCAAATCACGCACTCAATCAAAGCGACATTAAGAAGAGGGGAGACATTCCCTGAATCTAGAGGGTGAAAACGTGGGTTACTCATTAGTGACATGATATGGGAACAAAAAATGCATAACTTTCCTTTTCAGCCTTTAAAAACTGACAATCCTCGTCTTGCTGTAAGTCGTAAGGATGCAGCTAACAGCGATACTGTTCTCCTTTCTTTTAGTTTCAGCCTCCAGTTGCCCCAAGGGCGCAGTGTGGATTTGTTGGTCTCAAGAATGCCGGAGCAACATGTTATATGAACTCTGTTCTTCAACACTTATACATGCAACCAGGACTAAGAGAGGTGGGTCAGAAAGACAATAAAAGACACTCTTAGCCAGCTATACGTTAAATAGTTAACCAGAAGACGACATATACTTGAATTTTAAGTTTCGTTCCATTGTGACAGTGGTGAGTCGTTTGTTAACTGAAATAAAGTTGTTGGCAACAAAACTGTCTTTTCGTGTGTTAAACAGAATCAACGTGAAGTAAAACATCGTAGGTTATCAATTAGAGTTTGGTCACCAAGGTGATTGAACCACGTAGGGGTTTTCGAATAGCTGAGTATTTCGGGTACTTTTGGACGGGATAAGGTGGAGGGTTTTGCTTCGAGTGTTAACAAGACTGAAGCATACGATTACTGTAAAGGTATGTAACGAGAGCATATGGAAGTCTATAGAGGGAATTTCTATTTTTTTCTCGTACAATAGGCAATTTTATCATTTGATGATTTTCATCCAGATAGAGAAAGGTATGATATTCTTGTTACTTTACGATGCTTTATCGGTGTTTTGTATAATTGCTACGATGATTAAAGATTCGCGCACTCTGATTAGTCAAGGATTGCGTCATCTCTCGTTTTAATTACCTCTCGCTAGGTAATCATGGCAAGGGCGCTAAAATTTCAAAATGGCTACCTCGCGTTTTGTCAATGTTACGCAGGAGTGACAAACGCGATAGAAGAAATTACAATTCTGAAGAGGTCAGAAGGTGCTGCTAAGTTTGGCGTAACATTTTCAAAAGAAAAACTATTAATTTTTTCTGACTAAATTTAAAAAAATCTGTTGAATTTGAGTTGAAACTGGCTGCTTATCATGGTAAGAGTAATCAAAACAATTGTAACAATGGTTTCGACAAGTTACAACAGAATTCAAAGCTCCTGAGCAATTATACTGAAACAACTATTTGCCTCAGGCTCAGTGCATGTTGTTGAGTAATTCTCTCGACTTCGTCTCGGGGATTATTCCACAACATTCCCTTCGCCTTCGGCGCATAATTGTTAATTGACATATTCTTGTAGAGCGTATTTAACAACATAGCTGCACAATGTCTTGCATGAGTCTGTCTTCTTGGTTTCTCATTTCATTTTTTTTCTGAACAATATCCTCACAATGTCGTGCACAAGGGCTGGTGTGCTTAAATTGTTCTCAGTGTCTAACATCAGAGTGTGATGTATTCTAGTCATAGAATGCTTTCAGTATCCCATTTCCGAGTTCTGGTTTGTCAGAGTTAAGGCGCGTCATCGAGACAAAGTGCGAAGTCGATCTCGACTGCTGGAAAAAGTAGATGCTTCGAGGGAGAAAATCAACACCAAGCGAATAATTCTCGAAATGGGCATTTAGTCGTAGTATATACGATGGAATATCCCACGAGTCGCACGTATAATTATTCTCTGTGTACACACGAGCGTCTCGTTGAGCTTTTAAGCCAAGAAAATGCTATTTGCAGTTGGCATATTTCATGGTATAGCACGATATATATAGTGTTGCACAACTGTTTTATACCATTTTTTTATTTGACGCAAAAATTTGCGCAAATTAGTGAGTAAATCGTGGAAACCCGTAATTCAATTCCTCTACCTGATATGTGAGTGTTTTCGTAACATTTATTAGACTTTCTTGTTCGTTCATCCTGTGTACTCTTCGCAGCGTCTTTTTCCAAGTTCAATCATTATTTGGCCACTTGATGGACAGCAAGTTACAGTTCTTTGCCCCAGAGCAATTTTGGAAATGTTTCAAGCTATGGGGCCAACCAGTCAATGTTCGCGAGCAACAGGTAGATCAAATGGGTCATTAATTATAGTTTGCAACATGGTCAGGAGTAAGTGGAGGTATTTTAAATCGTCTAAGCGTGTTTTGAATCCTTACTGTGTAGACTGATGATTTGTGTTTCCATTGAACCTTGACAGACGAAGTTCTCTTAATTCTTTAGCCGCTGAGATTGACCAGCATCTAATATCGCGTAACAATATCACCCTTGGGAATCAAACCATAGGGTCACGAGATTAAAGGAAATTAGTATATACTAAAACAGTGGATAGCGTTGAAGGCGCGCTCTGATTGGCTAGTCAAACTCCAAATATCCTTTGCTATTTACCTCCGAGAAACTCGGGAAAAATGGCGTCCCGTGCATCCGTGAAAAGCAAAGAAATCAGTCAAATTAATTTTTGGTGGTGTATATTATCTCAGTGTTTTAGTATATCCTAAAACAACTATTCACCTCAGTGTCGGTGGTTAGCGGTGGATATTTACCTCGCCGCTTTGCAGCCCGGTAAATCCACCACAAACCACCTCCACTTCGGTGAATAGTTGTTAATTATCAAGCGCTAAAGAAAAGTTCTGGATTGCTAAACAAACTCTTCTTGTCAGCCACTACGGAAATGTGGAGAGAACAGTGTGGAATTTTTGCATTCTGATGTAAAGGTGTAAAGGGTTAAAAATCATTCCAACTACCGCGTTGAAAACGATATAAAGATATGCGTGTATCTCGAGATATGAAGCGCTTAGGGCGTTTGGGGAGCACTCGAGAAGTTAGTCCGAGTTGTTCTCGGCGAGCAACTCTAACGCATCATTCGTGCGCTCCAACCGCCTCCTGGTTAGCTCAATGGATAGAGCGCTGGACTGTTGAGCGGGAGGTCGAGGGTTTGAGCCCCGGCCAGAACAACACTCAGGGTCTTAAAATGATTGAGTAGAATATGCTACCTTTCTATAACATCAAGAAATGGTTAGTCTTCTTATATTCTAGTCTTCTCGGATAGGGACGAGTAAATGGAGGTCCCGTCTCCTGCAGGGTTAGGGGCAGGAGACGTTAATTTCCTATGCACGAGATTACTGTGTGATGGATGACGCATGTGTAATTGCCACTGAGCGAAAGATAACGGTGTTAGCGTTCTTTTTCGTCTTTCGTGGATAAAGAATTGTATGTTCTTTTCTTTGTTTCGTTTTGTTTTACTTTGTTTTGGTTTTTTTGGCAGGATGCTTTTGAGTTCTTTAGTAACCTGACGGATCAACTTGATGAACTCCTTAAGGTAAGGTGTTTTTTTTTCTTTTTCTCAGTGATTGTTAGGTATGTTTTTAAATCTTCAGATGAAATCAATCTTAAGAAAGTAAGTGAATAAGTATCGCTTATTTTGAATGAGCAATGAACATACAAGCTTAAGAAAATCGCCCAGAGGGACAAGGACAGAAATGCTTTAGTTCTATTAAGAAACAATCTAATATTTTTCTCAAATAACTGTATGGAAACAGAGATCTTTTACAGACTGGATTAAAATCTGAAATAACGAATAGTTTGTTTGTCATTCAAGTGAATAAACTGTAGTGTTTTCTATCTTCAGCAAAAAGGACAAGAGCAGTTATTCAAAAAAACATTTTGTGGTATGTTTGCTGATCAGAAAATTTGTAAAGATTGTAATCACAGGTGAGCATTCATTCTGTTATGTTCTTTCCGTGTTGTAAGTCAATTTGCAAATATTTTATAGGTTGGTCAAATTTTGGGTTTCACATTACCGAGTTGTTTCACCATAAAATGACCAATCGGATTGACCAATCGGATTGACCAATCGGATTGATCAATCGGATTGTTAGAAACGAAAAAATGACTCCTATGCTTGCTAAAGTCCTGAGCACTGATTGGCAGAATTTAATTAAATCATTGGTCGTTTGCTATGACGGGGCTAGTTAATCTATTCATGTGGCATTGGTAATAGTAGTGGCTCTGAAGTGACTTTCATACATCATATGTGAAATGGTAACCTGGTGGTAAATTAGTGACTTTCCTGGTGAATAGGTATGAAAGAGAAGAAGCTTTTCATTCTTTACAAGTGACTGTCAAAAACCACAGGCTGGAAGACTCCCTAGAACAGTTTGTAAATGGCGAGATACTTGAAGGGGACAATGCTTACTTCTGCGAAAAGTGCAATGAAAGGGTTAGTTTATATGCATCACTTGTATTGAGTATGAACCCGCACCCACCCCTCCCCTAACCCGACAACAGTCAACTGAGAAAATGTTAGGGTTTGGGGAGAGGGGGAGGGTGGGTGCGAAGTTGTCATAATACTGACATTGATCCGTTACAACACTAGAAATGGCTTTCTACCAAGACTTCCTAAGCCGCGAACAGACTGAGGAAGACGTACAGCGTACTCTAGAGCTTTTATCGATTGGGCTTCACTGCTGAACCAAAAAAAAAACAAAAAACAAAACAAAACTTGTGCCTTGCTCAATTTATGATGGGAACTTTAACAGGGTCTTTTATTAAAACTTAGTTGTCTTACCTTTAGTCTTATTTAAGTTGTACTTTTTTCTATAGATTTTGAGTTGATTTTTCTTCAGAGGACCCTCCCTAAGCCACATAGTGAGATAGAGGTCCCCTCTTAAAATCTGTATTTTAATATTTATTATGTTGCCCCGAGTCTGTCGAATAATAGATCGCAGATCGCAGGTGATAGCAAGATTTGCCAAAAATATGTCGATTAGCTGACATCTTGGCTGATCCACAAATTCTGAGTACATTTGAGTGGTTTTCACTGTTTTATCGCAAATATTACCATTTCAGCGGACTACCGTAAAGCGCATGTGTATCAAGAGCCTCCCTCCGGTTCTCGTGATTCAACTGAAGAGATTTGGGTATGACTGGGAGGCTGGTAGAGCACTCAAGTTTGACGATCACTTTGAGGTATATTTATACCACGTCAATAGATACTTGCACTATTGAATGTGTAAAGTTAAGGCGTAGCGGGTATTCTAGCCAGCGTTTGGCTGGTTTTCTCTGAGCGCCCTAGAGCAACTGAGGCGCGTGAGAGAGGTGAAGCCACGAGGAGAAACCGCTAGTTTTAAGTCGACTGGTTTTCGAAAGACTCTTTTTTTTTACTCTGTATGTTCTACGTCTCTTGGGAACAAACGAAGGCAGTTAATTCAGTGATCGATTAGCGTTCCCACACAGCTAAACAAAATTTTACTTTTCCTTGTGCGGGTAAAACTTAAAACCCCTCGAATTTAAACAGATGGTTAGAATGTTTGAATCACATTTCTCTCGTGGCTTAGCCAATCGAACCTCCTATTAAAAAAGCAACAATGCAAGATGTGAGGGCTTATTGGCTGTAGCTCTTTTCCACAAGATACTCCGGTTGAAAATAACTTTCATTATTTTACCAGTTTCCTTGGCTTTTAAACATGGAACCATACACTACGGATGGAGTGTCAAGACGGGAGTCAATGACAAACTTACAGGCTGATACAGACAGTGAAAGTGGAAGTATCACAGATCTACATATGTCTGCATCTTCCTCTTCGCTTCACTCCACTGTATCTGTTAATGCACCCGAGATTCAGTACGAGCTTGTAGGAGTCATTGTTCACAGTGGACAAGCAAATGCGGGGCATTACTACTCGTTCATTAAGGACAGAAGGTCTGTAGCTGAGCTCTGTAGCTGAGCTCTGTAGCTGAGCTCTGTCGCTGAGCTCTGTTGCTGATAATGTGATCATGCTTTATGTTGACCTGATACAATGATATTGTGGATACATATATCTTATCAACGTTTTGGTGTGAGTGCTATCGCTAAGTATTTTTACGAGTTTTACGATCAACGATATAGAATACTCGACGACTCTTCAAACCAAAGCCTATATAATGTTATTTATTATCCAGCTACTTTACCTTATGTGCATTCTGTTATAAGGCGAACAAAGCTGAGCAGAAAGAGAAGCTTAGCA